AAAAAACACCACACATACACCGCAGGTAACATTCTAACAGAAAAAACTGCTACGGCCAACTTATTAAACACTGAAACACCCTCTCGGTGCGTAACATGACCGGCTTTGGCACGCTGGTGGTAAACTGGGAAAGACGGACGAGTCAACTCAGAATCCGCCGCTTGTAACCGACCAACAAACGTTGGCCAATTCTTGTAAACATGACTTTGTATAAAGCGTGTAACAAACTGACAAATGAATCAAAACTGTGCCTTGCTAGGCCCCTCCCCCCCTACAAAAGCTCAAGTTAGCTCATGCAACCCATGCTGCCAGCTGCCAAATTCCCTGCCCGTGAGCAGAACGCCTTGATTTAGACTAATGCCACCATAGTAACTGCGTCTCTATGACGTTTTCTGGAATAATTGAACCAGCTACACAATGTAACATCCTTTTACTGAGGTGTTCTCGCCCCCTGGGGCGAAAGCACATGGATGTCCGACAACGCAACTAGCAAGGAGACAACTGATTTGGCAGTTTTCTCCATATCCAAGCATTTTAGCTTGCAAGTTCCCCTCCTGCATTCCTCGTGAGATGCTTGTCTTGTTCAAGTGCAAGTAAATTGCTGTCTCCTTGGTGGTTGCGTTATCGTTAAGCCGTGGAGGAGGGAGCAGTGCCATCAAAGATAGCCTTGGACAGAACCTAGGAAGGTAAAGACAAAGTACTACATGTAGTCTTTCCCCCGAGGAACAGAACTCCTTGCTAGTTGTGTTGTCAGTAAGCCATGTATGGGGGAGTGGTGCCCTTGTCTGACCTCACATAACCTTGGACAGAACCTAGGAAGATCAGACAAAGTACTACACGTCTTTCCCCTGGGGAACAGAACTCCTTGCTAGTTGAGTTGTTGGAATGTGATGGAGGGAGGAGAGATTTCCTTTCACATGGCCTTAGACATAACATAGGAAGATAAGACAAAGTACTACAAGTCCTTCCCCTGAGGAACATAACTCCTTGCTAGTTGTGTTGTGGGAATATCACACAGGAAGAAGAGGCGCCTCAATCTGACTCCACAGATTGTTTTTTCTTCCTAGGTTCTGTGGAGTCAGATTGAGGCGCCTCTTCTTCCTGTATGACTAGCAAGGAGTTCTGTTCCTCAGGGGAGAGTACATGTAGTACTTTGTCTTTTCTTCCTAGGTTCTAAGGCCAAGTACCACATGTAGTCTTTCCCCTGAGGAACAGAATTCCTTGGTAGTTGCGTTGTTGGAATGTGATGGAGGGAGGAGAGGCGTCCTTATCTGACCTCGCAGACTGTCTGATCTTCCGACGTTATGTCTAAGGCCAAGCACTACACGTACTCTTTCCCCTGAGGAACAGAACTCCTTGCTAGTTGAATTGTCAGTTAAGCCGTGGGTGGAGGAGTGGAACCCTTGTCTGACCTCACAGATAACCTTGGACAGAACCTAGGCAGATCAGACAAAGTTCTACATGTAGTCTTTCCCCTGAGGAATATAACTCCTTGCTAGTTGTGTTGTGGGAATGTCATTGAGGGAGGAGAGGTTTTCTTATCTGACCTTGCAGATGGCCTTAGACATAACTTGGGAAGATAAGAAAGTACTACATGTAGTATTTCCCCTGAGGACCAGAACTCCTTGCTAGTTGCATTGTGGGAATGTCACACAGGAAGAAGAGGTGCCTTTATCTGACTTCACAGATTGTCTTTTCTTCCTAGGTTCTGTCTAAGGCTATCTGTGAAGTCAGATAAAGGCGCCTCTTCTTCCTGTGTGATATTCCCACAACACAACTAGCAAGGAGTTCTGTTCCTCAGGGGAAAGACTACATGTGGTACTTTGTCTTTTCTTTCTAGGTTCTGTCTAAAGCTAAGTACCACATGTAGTCTTTCCCCTGAGGAACAGAACTCCTTGCTAACTGCGTTGTCGGAATGGCACAGGGGGAGGACAGGCGTCCTTATCTGACCTCACAGATTGCCTAATCTTCCGACGTTATGTCGAAGGCCAAGTACTACACATACTCTTTCCCCTGAGGAACAAAACTCCTTGCTAGTTGCGTTGTTGGAATGTCATGGAGGGAGGAGAGGTTTCCTTATCTGACCTCACAGATAACCTTGGACAGAACCTAGGAAGATCAGACAAAGTTCTACATGTAGTCTTTCCCCTGAGGAACAGAACTCCTTGCTAGCTGCATTGTGGGAATATCACACAGGAAGAAGAGGTGCCTTTATCTGACTTCACAGATTGTCTTTTCTTCCTAGGTTCTGTCTAAGGCTAAGTACCAGATGTAGTCTTTTCCAATTGAACAGAACTCCTTGGTAGTTGCGTTGTCGGAATGTCATGGAGGGATGAGAGGCATCCTTATCTGACCTCGCAGACTGTCTGATCTTCCTACGTTATGTCTAAGGCCAAGCACTACACGTACTCTTTCCCCTGAGGAACAGAACTCCTTGCTTGTTGCATTGTCAGTAAGCCATGTATGGGGGAGTGGTGCCCTTGTCTGACCTCACAGGTAACCTTGGACAGAACCTAGGAAGATCACACCAAGTACTACATGTAGTCTTTCCCCTGATGAACAGAAACTCCTCACTGGTTGCACTGTTGGAATGTCATGGAGGGAGGAGAGGTTTCCTTGCAGATGGCCTTAGACATAAACTTGGGAAGATAAGAAAGTACTACATGTAGTCTTTCCCCTGAGGAACAGAACTCCTTGCTAGTTGCGTTGTGGGCATATCATACAGGAAGAAGAGGTGCCTTTATCTGACTTCAGAGATTGTCTTTTCTTCCTAGGTTATGTCTAAGGCTAAGTACTACATGTAGTCTTTCCCCTGAGGAACAGAACTCCTTGCTAGTTGCGTTGTGGGCATATCATACAGGAAGAAGAGGTGCCTTTATCTGACTTCAGAGATTGTCTTTTCTTCCTAGGTTATGTCTAAGGCTAAGTACTACATGTAGTCTTTCCCATGAGGAACAAAACTCCTCGCCAATTGTGTTGTTGGAATGTCATGGAGAGAGGAGAGGTGTCCTTCTACCTCGCAGATGGCCTTAGACATAATTGGGGAAGATAAGACAAAGTACTACATGTAGTCTTTCCCCTGAGGAACAGAACTCCTCAGTTGTGTTGTTGGAATCTCATGGAGGGAGGACAGATTTCCTTATGTGACCTTGCTGATGGCCTTAGACATAACTTGGGAAGATAAGACAAAAGTACTACATGTAGTCTTACCCCTGAGGAACAGAACTCCTTGCTAGTTATGTTGTTGGAATGTCATGGAGGGAGGAGAAGTGTCCTTCGACCTCACAGATGGCCTTAGACGTAATTGGGGAAGATAAGAAAGTACTACATGTAGTCTTTCCCATGAGGAAGAGAACTCCTTGCTAGTTGCGTTTTGGGAATGTCATGCCCTGCCTGCCCTCACAGGGAGACTTCTTTATTAAATGGTATAAAAATGTTGATCCCAGTTAGGGAAAAGATATGCAACTGTGAGTGAGGCGAGGACTGAAGGAAGGTGTTCTTTATGACAACAGCTGTCTTTATAAATGGGTGTTGAAAATGTGGATATTTCTATGCATACTTATTTTGTTTTTTCATTATCAATAAAGTGTGTGGTTTTAATCTGCACGAAGCTTCAATGTAACCAATCGGTTAACTTGGTGGCATTAGCCTAGTCTACAGATTAAAAGGTCTTGAGAATTTGGCCAGGATGAGATGGTAAAGAGCAACCTTCTTCAGGAGGGCCATCTTCAAGAGGGCCATCTTCAAGAGGGCCATCTTCAAGAGGGCCATCTTCAAGAGGGCCATCTTCAAGAGGGCCATCTTCAAGAGGGCCATCTTCAAGAGGGCCATCTTCAAAAGGGCCATCTTCAAGAGGCCCATCTTCAAGAGGCCCATCTTCAAGAGGCCCTTCTTCAAGAGGCCCTTCTTCAAGAGGCCCTTCTTCAAGAGGCCCTTCTTCAAGAGGCCCTTCTTCAAGAGGACCATCTTCAAGAGGACCATCTTCAAGAGGACCATCTTCAAGAGGACCATCTTCAAGAGGCCCTTCTTCAAGAGGCCCTTCTTCAAGAGGCCCTTCTTCAAGAGGACCATCTTCAAGAGGACCATCTTCAAGAGGACCATCTTCAAGAGGACCTTCTTCAAGAGGCCCATCTTCAAGAGGCCCTTCTTCAAGAGGCCCTTCTTCAAGAGGCCCTTCTTCAAGAGGCCCTTCTTCAAGAGGCCCTTCTTCAAGAGGCCCTTCTTCAAGAGGCCCTTCTTCAAGAGGCCCTTCTTCAAGAGGCCCTTCTTCAAGAGGACCTTCTTCAAGAGCATTACCAGCACATTTTATATTTGCAGCCCACGGCTTGACTCAGAATGGCTTTCCATGCCAGGCACCTGTGGCGGGATCCCAGCCTCGTACACATTGAGGGGATAACTAAAACACACGTGCACAACAGTCAGCATTAAACGAAGACTTTTCGCTCCTCTCTGAACATCCTCCGCCAACGGTCCTCATCTCAAGCAATTCACATTGTGGTAAACGTTGACTTTTTTTTTTTTTCTTTTTTGTCGTCTCTTATTTTTTACCCAGCGACTGCTTCAATATATAAAAAAAAACAAACAAAAAAAAAAAAAAAAAAAAAAACAAGTCTTGAGTGTAACAAAATAGGTTCATGTGCAAACAGGAAAATGTCACTTCATTGTACAAATCCCCCGGGATTACTTCAACAACGCCGAGGGTTTGCCAAATGTAACAAAAGCACTTCAGGTTACAAACGTGGTCCGTCTCACTCACACACACACACACGACCCAACAAAACTTGGGCGCTAAAAAACCCTTCTGGTAACAGGGCTGGGTGCAGCAGAACATGGGCCGCTGCACTGAACATCCATGTCAGAATTTTTCCCAGAATTCCTCGCTGGGCTAACTCCCACTGTGGTGGAAGCTAATGAAATGCAAAGGCCAGGTGATGCTTTTTGGTTAAGGAGCGCCCCCTGCTGGCAGTTACCGTGAGGGCATCGTAGGGTTGTCTCGGGAGTCAGGAAGTTGTAGATCCTTGGGGCGGATCTTGGTCCATGCTACATCCCAGAGCCTCTATGTCATTACTGATGTCTGAAATCATGCGGTCCCACTCGTCTCCTTCCGAGGGCACGGACTGGTCGTCTGAGCCTTCCGTCGCACCGTTGCCGTTGGTGGTGGAGTTTGAAGCGGTGCTCATAGTCCGTCTGTACCTACCGAAGCTGTCTGTGATTATGCCCGCGCCCGTCCTTCACGCCGATGGTTTCTAGGAAATTCTCGAAATGCTGACTGTCCTTCTCAGGTATAAATGGGCGGAGACCTGAGGGAAGGAGGAAAGACAAAGGTTACAGGATGGGGGATGGTACTGGGGGACGTACAGTCATGGGCTTCAACCCCTCCCCTACCGGGCACGTCTATCCCCCTTCCTGCCCACCGGGCACGTCTATCCCCTTCCTGCCCACCGGGCACGTCTATCCCCTTCCTGCCCACCGGGCACTTCTATCCCCTTCCTGCCTACAGGACACTTCTACCCCCTTCCCGCCCACCGGGCACTTCTACCCCCTTCCTGCCTACAGGACACTTCTACCCCCTTCCCGCCCACCGGGCACTTCTACCCCCTTCCTGCCTACAGGACACTTCTACCCCCCTTCCCGCCCACCGGGCACTTCTACCCCCTTCCCGCCCACCGGGCACTTCTACCCCCTTCCTGCCTACAGGGCACTTCTACCCCCTTCCCGCCCACCGGACACTTCTACCCCCTTCCCGCCTACAGGACACTTCTACCCCCTTCCCGCCCACCGGACACTTCTACCCCCTTCCCGCCCACCGGACACTTCTACCCCCTTCCTGCCTACCGGACACTTCTACCCCCTTCCCGCCTACAGGACACTTCTACCCCCTTCCTGCCTACAGGACACTTCTACCCCCTTCCCTTCCCCCACCGGACACTTCTACCCCCTTCCCGCCCACCGGACACTTCTACCCCCTTCCGCCCACCGGACACTTCTACCCCCTTCCTGCCTACAGGGCACTTCTACCCCCCTTCCCGCCTACAGGACACTTCTACCCCCTTCCCGCCTACAGGACACTTCTACCCCCTTCCCGCCTACAGGGCACTTCTACCCCCTTCCTGCCCAGGCCAATTTCCAGCTTTCAGCGCTGTCGCACTTTGAATGACAATTGCGCGGTCATGCAACACTGTACCCATATGAAATTTTTATCATTTTGTTGAGACAGATAGAGCTTTCTTTTGGTGGTATTTAATCACCTCGGGGATTTTTATTTTTTCTTAAAACAAACCAAAAAACCACTGAAATTTTGAAAAAAAACTTTTTTCTTAGTTTTTGTTATACAACTTTGTAAATAAGTGATTTTTTCTCCTTCACTGATGTGCGCTAATGAGGCTGCACTGATGGGCAACTGATAGGCTGCACTGATGGACACTGATAGGTGGCACTGATGAGGCGACGGGTAGGTTGCACTGATGGGCATTGACAGGCATCACCAATGGGCACTAAAGGCAACACGATATATGGCACTGATAGGCAGCACTGACTGGCACTGATGCGCACTGATAGGCGACACTGACTGACACTGATAGGTGGCACTGATTGGCATTGATAGGTGGCATTGACTGGCACTGATGGGTGACATTGAAAGGTAGCTCAGATGGGCACTGATATGTGGCACTGACAGCTGGCACTGATGAGCACTGACTGCTGAAACTTCTGGGGCCACACTGATCATCAGGGCACACTGATCATCAGTGCCCTGATGATCAGTGTAGATGTCCCCACCACTGGGAAAGCCGATTTACCGGCTCTCCTCCCCTCTGTCAGCGTGACAGCTCGAGAGGAGAGAAATTCTGATAACCGGCATTTCCGTGTTTACATGTGATCAGCTGTGATTGGCCACAGCTGATCACATGACCGAGCCGACATCTTCGGCTCTTTTCCGTGATCCGCTGTGTCCGAGGGACACAGCGCACCGGCGATCGCCGTGCTGCGCGCTCCCTGAGCCGCGCATGCGCAGTGAGAATGGTAGGACGTCATATGACGTCATATGACGTCCTATCAGAACGAGAGAACCACCTTGCACCCGTCATTGGATTATAGGGCTGGGGCGGGAGGGGGTTTAAAGTGATATTAAAGTGCTACTAAACCCAGGACCTTCCGCGTTCAATATAGATCCGGTCTCCCACAGTACGCAGAAACGCAATTATTTTAATAAATATAAATGTGCTAAATACCTTTTTCTCATCAGAAGTATATAGCAGTCATGTGACTTCTATTAGTGTTTGGATGAGCACTGGTTAAAGCTTGTACAAGGAGTTTTCATTCTCCTCGGACTGTCCTATGAGGCTGCATAACTTCTGACTCTCTGGACAGTGCTGATTTGCCCTGTGCTTATCCCATGCATCCTCCCACAAAACGAAAAAGGAAAAACAAACGAAAAAGGAAAACAAAACGAAAAAGGAAAACAAAAAACGAAAAAGGAAAACAAAACCAAAAAAAGGAAAACAAAAAACGAAAAAGGAAAACAAAACCAAAAAAGGAAAACAAAACCGGAAAACGAAAAGGAAAACAAAAAACGAAAAGGAAAACAAAAAACGAAAAGGAAAACAAAAACGAAAAGGAAAACAAAAACGAAAAGGAAAACAAAAACAAACGAAAACAAAAACAAAAAACGAAAAGGAAAACAAAAACGAAAAGGAAAACAAAAACCGAAAAGGAAAACAAAAACGAAAAGGAAAACAAAAAACCGAAAAGGAAAACAAAACCGAAAAGGAAAACAAAACACCAAACAGATGTGCAAGAGTGACTCCTAGAGCTCTGTACTATCAGTAGATTGATTTGGGGACAGCAGATGAAGGGTAGGATCAGAGAAGACAGGATTCAAACAGCTTTTCTACATAATGCAGAGGATTAACCCCTTAGGGCCCACAGTGAGAATAACAAGCACGCTTTACTGCATCTACTGACAGATGTAACTGTTTGTGGGTTTAGTAAAACTTTAAAAGCGGGGGGGGATTTGTAATGCCCTGGCGTTTGGGGGGGATTTGTACTGTCCTGACATTCGGGGGGGGGGGGTATCTGTCTATGGTCCTGGCATTGGAGGGGATATGTACTGTACTGGCAATTGGGGTGGTTGGATGGGGGAGGATTTGCACCGTCCTGGCATTTGGGGTGGGTGTGGAATCTGTACTGTCCTTTGGAGGGGGGGTCCGTACTGTCCTGGCATTTGGGGGGGATCTGTTACTGTCCTGGCAATGGGGGGGGGGGGGGGGCATACTATCCTGGCATTTGGGGGGATCTGTACTGTCCTGGCAATGGGGGGAATGGGGGAGGATTTGCACTGTCCTGGCATTTGGGTGGGGGGGGATCTATACTGTCCTGACATTTGGGGGGATCTGTACTGTCCTGGCATTTGGGGGGGATTTGTACTGTCCTGACATTGGGGGGGGGGGGGATTTGTACTGTCCTGACATTGGGGGGGGGGATTTGTACTGTCCCCTGACTTGGGGGGGGGGGGGGTTTGTACTGTCCTGACATTGGGGGGGGGGGGGGGGTTTGTACTGTCCTGACATTTGGGGGGGGGGGGTTTGTTCTGTCCTGACATTGGGGGGGGGATGTGTACTGTCCCGGCATTTGGGGGGGGGGGGGTTTGTACCGTCCCGACATTTGGGGGGGGACTTGTACCGTCCCGACATTTGGGGGGGGGACTTGTACCGTCCCGACATTGGAGGGGGGGGACTTGTACCGTTCCCGACATTTGGGGGGGGGGACTTGTACGTCCCGACATTTGGGGGGGGGGGACTTGTACCGTCCCGACATTTGGGGGGGGGGGACTTGTACCGTCCCGACATTTGGGGGGGGGGACTTGTAACGTCCCGACATTTGGGGGGGGGGGACTTGTAACGTCCCGACATTTGGGGGGGGGGGGACTTGTAACGTCCCGACATTATGGGGGGGACCCCATTTTGTGTTACCGTCCCGACATTTGGGGGGGGACTTGTACCGTCCGACATTTGGGGGGGACTTGTACCGTTCCGACATTTGGGGGGGATTTGTACCGTCCCGACATTTGGGGGGGATTTGTACCGTCCCGACATTTGGGGGGGATTTGTACCGTCCCGACATTTGGGGGGGATTTGTACCGACGTCCCGACATTTGGGGGGATTTGTACCGTCCCGACATTTGGGGGGATTTGTACGTCCCGACATTTGGGGGGGATTTGTGCCGTCCTGACATTTTAAAGGCCTCAAGAAATGAGATGGGCCGTCAATACATCAGGATGGATCAAATTTCGAACATTTATCCCGTAGATTGTGGACTCCATAACTTTTATCCAGACTCCATAATATACAATGATGTGTTATTTTTACAAAATAAATAAAGCAGATTAAATTCTGACCTAAATCTATGAAGAAAGATGATTAGTTTGCTAAATTGTAAAACCTCAATTAAGAAAAATATGTGAAAAGCAAAAATTTTCTGCATTTTTTGTTTATTTAGCAAACAAATTAAAAAAAAACCCAGTGGTGATCAAATACCACCAAAAGCTCTATTTGGGTACAGTGTTGGAAGACGTAGCAGAAAGGATTTGGGTCTAAATGAACAAAGAAATTAGGTTTTATTCGGGGGGGGGGGTGTACGTTTAATGGGTTTTTTTTTTTTTTTGGGGGGGGGGGGGGGTATATGTTTTATAGCAGAAATTAGAAACCCCCCCAAATAGAAAAAAAAAAAATCTAATTTCACTGTACCCAAATAGAGATTTTGGTGGTATTTGATCACCGCTGGGTCTTTTTTGTTTTATTATATATGAAAAAATATACATGAAAAAAACCTGAAAATATATTATATATATATATATATATATATATATATAATATATAATATATATATAAAAAAAATAATTATAGATTAAAATAATAATTATAAAATAAAAAATAAAAATTATATATTAAAAAATAAAATAGTAATAAATAAATGAATATATATATTATATATATATATATATATATATATATTTTTTTTTTTTTTCCCCCAGGCTTTTTTCATTTATATATAAAACAAAACAAAAAAAAGACCCAGCGGTGATCAAATACCACAAAATCTCTATTTGGGTACAGGGAAATTAGATGTTTTTTTTTTTTCTATATGAGGGGGGATATGTTTTATAACAGAAATTAGAATATATATAGATTTTTTTTTTCGTTTTTTTAATATTTTCAGGCTTTATTCACGTATATAATAAAACAAAAAAAGTGGCGATCAAATACCACCAAAAGAAAGCTCTATTTGCCCAAATTAAATTTTGGATAATTTTTTTTTATTGTACACAAATGTGTTTCTTGACTGTGCAATTGCCAGTTAAAGTAGCACAGTGCTGAATGGCAAAAAAAAAAAAAAAAACACCACAAAAAAAACCAACTTCTTACCCAGAAGCAGAAATTTCCGGCTGTCCCCGTACAGTTGTCGGAGATTAATGCAGAACTCGTGAGAATGGAGGCTCCGTTCCGGTACTCGTGGAGAAGCATCGCAAACTGTCGGATCTCTTCCGAAGACAGCTTGGTCCTCAGCTGACAACAAGAAATACAGGAAAGCCTCAGATAGCAATCTTTTCTGGATATCAGACATCTGTGGCTAGGGTGTCCTCACAGCGGGGTTTAGGGACTATAGTGTACATTTGGAATTGTATTCAGAATCAAATCTACAAGGACGTTGTAACTACCCAAATGCAACTAAAATGACATCAATTGTTTATGTAATACAGTAGTAAATGGTTCTTATGTGGTTTCTTCATTGCCACAATTATTCAACCCCTTAAAGACTACCACTCTGAAGAACAGAGGTTCATACAGGTGCTTTCCATCAGGTATTGAAAACACCTGTGGATGTCACCGAGCAGCAATCAAGCATAATAAGCACCAATTAGGCAGCTTTAAAATGACTGTGATACTCAGCTCCTTCTAGACATTTACTGGTGTGGTTACAAACATGGTGAAGGCAAGAGAATGGTCCAGGAAGACAAGAGAAGAGGTGATTTCTCTTCACAGGAAGGGCAATGGCTATAAGAAGATTGCAAAGATGTTAAACATACCAAGAGACACCTTAGGAAGCATCATTCGCAAATTCAAGGCAAAGGGCACTGTTGAAACGCTACCTGGTCGTGGCAGAAAGAAGATGCTGACTTCGACTGCTGTGCGCTACCTGAAGCGTAGAGTGGAGAGAAGTCCCCGTGTGACTGCTGAGGAACTGAGAAAAGATTTGTCAGATGTGGGTACAGAAGTTTCAGCCCAGACAATAAGACGCACACTGCGTAATGAAGGCCTCCGTGCCAGAACTCCCAGGCGTACCCCCTTGCTGTCTCCAAAGAATAAGAAGAGTCGACTGCAGTATGCCAAAAGCCATGTGGACAAACCACAAAAGTTGTGGGATAGTGTTCTGTGGACTGATGAAACAAAAATTAGAACTGTTTGGGCCCATGGATCAACGCTATGTTTGGAGGAGGAAGAACAAGGCCTATGATGAAAAGAACACCTTGCCTACTGTGAAGCATGGTGGAGGGTCAATCATGCTTTGGGGCTGTTTTGCTTCTGCAGGTACAGGGAAGCTTCAGCGTGTGCAAGGTACCATGAATTCTCTTCAGTACCAGGAGATATATTGGATGGAAACGTGATGCAGTCCGTCACACACCTGAGGCTTGGGAGACGTTGGACCTTTCAACAGGACAATGATCCCAAGCATACCTCCAAGTCCACTAGAGCATGGTTGCAGAGGAAAGGCTGGAACATTTTGGAGTGGCCATCGCAGTCACCAGACTTAAATCCGATTGAGAACCTCTGGTGGGACTTAAAGAAAGCAGTTGCAGTGCGCAAGCCTAAGAATGTGACTGAACTGGAGGCCTTTGCCCATGAAGAATGGGCGAAGATACCCGTAGATCGCTGCAAGACACTTGTGTCAAGCTATGCTTCACGTTTAAAAGCTGTTATAACTGTAAAAGGATGCTGTACTAAGTACTAAGATTGAATGTCACTTGGGGGTTGAATAAAACTGATAATGCTCCCTGTGAGCACAGAAAAGACATTTGTGGTTATTTCATTATAACTGTTATGTTATATTTGTCTGACCTACAAGTGCCTCTTTAATGTAAATGTAAGCAAGATGACTGAATGATCAAAAGCAATGTCAAACTGGCCAAAACACTCAATTTCAGTGGGGGTTGAATAATTTTGGACACAACTGTACACGCGATTTTGCACTTGCGGGTAGGGGGGCGCGCTCGCGCCCTCTCTGCGCCGCCGTTACATCTGTCGATCACCGGTTTCCCGGCCGGCAACCTGGCGATCGCCGAGGAACACGGGGGGGGGGGGGGGGGGGGGGGGTTGGGGGGAGAGGTCTGCATGTAAACAATACAGATCTCTCCCGTCAGCTCCACATGCTGCTTGGTATGGCTCTGCATAGCAGCAAGCGTACAGTGAAACACGCCCAGCACACAGGTAACCTTTGATCGCCCCAGATGTTAACCCCTTCCTGCCCAGTGCCATTAGTACAGCGTCAGTGCTTTTTAATTAGCAATGATCACTGTATTGGTGTCACTGGTGGCAAAGACCAAAGAGCTGTCCAAGGATGTCAAGGACAAGATCGTAGACCTACACTCCCAGCGCACAGTTAACCCTTTGATCGCCCCTCATGTTAACCCCTTCCGGCCCAGTGCCATTAGTACAGTGTCAGTCTTTTTTTTTCTCTTAGCACTGATCACTGTATTGGTGTCACTGGGGATGTCAGTGACACCAAGTCAGTCCCCCCCCCCACCAGTGTCAGGATGCCCGCCGCAGTCCCGCAATAAGTCGCTGATCGCCGCCATTACTAGTAAAAATGAAAAAAAAAAAAAAAAATCCCCAGTCTCTATACCGCCATTTGCAGACACTATAACTTTCACAAAACCAATTAATTTACACGTATCAGGATTTTTTTTTTTTTTTTTTTTTAACAAAGACACGGAGCAGAATACATTTTGGCCTAAACTTATGATGAAATTAGATTTTTTTAATTTTTTTTTTACTGGACTTGTTTAATGTCTTTTTTCAAAATCATCAGCCTTTTTTTTTTGTTTATAACACGAAAAAAAAAAAAAAAAACAAAAAAAAAAAAACAAAAAAAAAAAAAAAAAAACACAACACCTTATAGGCGATCAAATACCACCGAAAAAAAGCTCTATTTGTGGGAAAAACAAAGGACGTAAATTTAATCTGCCGCAATAAGTCGCTGATCGCCACCATTACTAGTATAAAAGAAAAAAAAAAAAAAAAAAAAACACTATATATACACTGCCATTTGCAGACGCTATAGCTTGCACGTAAACCAATTAATTTACACGTATTGGGATTTTTTTTTTTTTTTTTTTTTTTTTAGCAAAGACACGGAGCAGAATATATTTTGGCCTAAATTTAGGACGAAATTTGATTTTTTAAATTTTTTTACTGGACATGTTTAATAGCAAAAAGTCAAAAATGTTGTCAAAATCGTCGGCTTTTTTTTGTTTATAGCGCAAAAATAAAAATAAAAAAAAAACCGCACAGGCAATTAAATACCACCGAAAAAAAAGCTCTATTTGTGGGAAAAAAGGCCGTAAATTTCATTTGGGTGCAGCATTGCATGACCGCGTAATTGTTAAAGTAACGCAGTGCTGTATCGCAAAAAATGGCCTGGTCAGGAAGGTGGGGGGGGAATCCTCAGGAGGGGGAGGGGGTTAAAGGATAGGTTCACCTCTTGTAAATAAAATAAATGCACATCTTTTTTCAAGAAAAAAAAAAAAAAAAGGAGTAAAAAAAAAAAAAAGTGCAATTATTTTTTCACATTCGCCTGTAAAGCATTGCATCTGCAATCGGTGTATATATATATACACACACACACATATATATGATGCTGAATGTTCGCCCCTCACACAGAAATGATCGGTCTAACAATGGAATGTTCGCCCCTCACACAGAAATGATCGGTCTAACAATGGAATGTTCGCCCCTCACACAGAAATGATCGGTCTAACAATGGAATGTTCGCCCCTCACACAGAAATGATCGGTCTAACAATGGAATGTCGCCCCTCACACAGAAATGATCGGTCTAACAATGGAATGTTCGGTGTAACACTGAGAGACAGAACACAACAACAAATTCAGCAGAAACGCGTCTAACAAATGATGACTGATCTGCATGTTCATGAGGGAAAGAAGGATTTGATCCCCTATCATTCAGCAGGATTTCTGGCTCCCAGGTGTCTCTCATACAGGTAACAAGCTGAGATTAGAAGCAGTCTCTTAAAGGGAGTGCTGCTAATCTCATTGTGTTACCTGTATAACAGACACCTGTCCACAGGAGCCATCAAACCATCAGATTCCAAACTCTCCACCATGGCAAAGACCAAAGAGCTGTCCAAGGATGTCAGGGACAAGATGGTAGACCTACACAAGGCTGGACTGGGCTACCAAACTATGGCCAAGCAGCTTGGTGAGAAGGTGACAACAGTTGGTGCAATCATTCACAAATGGAAGAAACACAAAACAAGTGTCAGTCTCCCTAGGTCTGGTGCACCATGCAAGATCTCACCTCGTGGAGTGTCAATGATCATGAGAACAGTGAGGAATCATCCCAGAACTACACGTGAGGATCTTGTCAATGATCTCCAGGCAGCTGGGACCGCAGTCACCAAGAAAACAATTGGTAACACACTACGCCGACAAGGACTGAAATCCTGCAGTGCCCGCACGGTCCCCCTGCTCAAGAAAGCCCATGTCCAGCCCGTCTGAAGTCTGCCACTGAACATCTGAATGATGCCGAGGAGGACTGGTGGGAAGTGTTGTGGTCACATGAGACCAAAATCCAGCTCTTTGGCATCAACTCAACTCGTTGTGATTGGAGGAGGAGGAATGCTGCCTATGATCCCAAGAACACCATCCCAACTGTGAAACATGGTGGTGGAAACATTCTGCTTTGGGGGTGTTTTTCTGCTAAGGGGACAGGACAACTGCACCGCATCAAAGGGACGATGGACGGGGCAATGTACCCTCAAATCTTGGGTGAGAACCTTCTTCCCTCAGCCAGGGCACTGAAAATGGGTGGTGGATGGGTGTTCCAGCATGACAATGACCCAAAACACACGGCCAAGGCAACAAAGGAGCGGCTCAAGAAGAAGCACATTAAGGTCCTGGAGTGGCCTAGCCAGTCTCCACACCTTCATCCGATTGAAAATCTGTGGAGGGAGCTGAAAGTTCGAGTTGCCAAACATCAGCCACCAAACCTTAATGACTTGGAGAGGATCTGCCAAGAGGAGTGGGCCAAAATCCCTCCTGAGATGTGTGCGAACCTGGGGGCCAACTCCAGGAAACGTCTGACCTCTGTGATTGCCAACAAGGGATTGGCCACCAAGTACTAAGTCATGTTTTGTGAAGGGGATCAAATCCTTCTTTCCCTCATGAACATGCAGATCCGTCATCATTTGTTAGACGCATTTCTGCTGAATTTGTTGTTGTATTCTGTCTCTCAGTGTTACAATACACATTCGATATATTCACGTGCGTGCGTTTATTATACACACTGGCCTAAATTTATGAAGAAATTACTTTTTTTTTTTTAATTGGTAATGTTTTATAGCAGAAATTTTTTTTTTTTTTGTTAAAGATGTTTTCTGTCTTTTTTCATTTATGTAACAAAAAAAAAAAAAAAAAAAAAGCCCGGTGGTGATCAAATACCACCAAAAAAAGCTCAATTTGTGTGAAAAAAAAAAAAAAAAAAAAAAAAAAGGATAGAAATGTATTTTGGTACAGCGCCGCACGATCGCGCAATTACCAGTTAAAGTAGCGCAGTGCTGAATAGCAAAAAAATGCCCTGGTCATGGAGGTAAAACATTCCGGACCGCGAGTGGTTAAAGGATTCTCTCTCAATGAGCCACAAAACATTTGCTATGTTGTGCAGTCACATGACTACACACACAGACACGCACGCACACACACGCACACGCACACGCACGTCTCTTACAGTCATCATGTAATCGTGGAGCAGCTCTGCTGCTGAAGTGCTGAGTTCGCTCTCGCTGGCCGTCTTGTTATGAGGAGGAGAATTTCCATCGGCGTCAGGAGACTCCTGGAAGGAGCTAAAAAACAACAAAGATAATAACAGTGTAAAACCGTCAATCAGCATCACAGCTGAACAACACAACTCCTGGCGGCACACAGCCGGGCTCTGCATTACAAATGCCCATCAGACAGACTGAGCTCTATATAAACAGGGAGAGTTTTTGTACCGATTTCCCGGCTTATTGAAAGTCGGTGTAAAAACGGTTCTTGTTGCAACATTCATGCCGCAAAACGTAAGGGGCCGCACGCCTCCCTCCCCCCCCCCGGGAACATAAGGGGCCGCACGCCTTCCCCCCCCGGGGAGCGTAAGGGGCCGCACGCCTTCTCCCCCCCCCCCCGGGGAGCGTAAGGGGCCGCACGCCTTCTACCCCCCCCCCCCCCCCGGGGAGCGTAAGGGGCCGCACGCCTTCTCACCCCCCCCCCCCGGGGAGCGTAAGGGGCCGCACGCCTTCTCTCCCCCCCCCCCCGGGGAGCGTAAGGGGCCGCACGCCTCCCTCCCCCCCCCGGGAACATAAGGGGCCGCACGCCTTCCCCCCCCGGGGAGCGTAAGGGGCCGCACGCCTTCTAACCCCCCCCCCCCCCCGGGAGCGTAAGGGGCCGCACGCCTTCTACCCCCCCCCCCCCCCCCGACCCCCCCCCCCCCCCCCGGGGAGCGTAAGGGGCCGCACGTCTTCTACCCCCCCCCCCGGGGAGCGTAAGGGGCCGCACGCCTTCTCACCCCCCCCCCCCCGGGGAGCGTAAGGGGCCGCACGCCTTCTCCCTCCCCCGTGGAATGTAAGGGGTCGCACGCCTTCTCCCACCCACCCCCCCTGGAAATCACAAGGGGCCGTGGGGGGACCCCAAAGCCAGCAGGGGGGACACAAGGGACCCCAGAGCCAGCAGAGGGGACACAAGGGACCCCAGTCCCTCCAGGGCTCACAAAGGACACCAGACCTCCAGGGGACACAAAGGACCCCAGACCTCCAGGGGTCACAAAGGACCCCAGACCTCCAGGGGACACAAAGGACCCCAGACCTCCAGGGGACACAAAGGACCCCAGACCTCCAGGGGACACAAAGGACCCCAGACCTCCAGGGGACACAAAGGACACCAGACCTCCAGGGCTCACAAAGGACCCCAGACCTCCAGGGGACACAAAGGACCCCAGTCCCTCCAGGGGACACAAAGGACCCCAGTCCCTCCAGGGCTCACAAAGGACCCCAGTCCCTCCAGGGCTCACAAAGGACCCCAGTCCCTCCAGGGCTCACAAAGGACCCCAGTCCCTCCAGGGCTCACAAAGGACCCCAGTCCCTCCAGGGCTCACAAAGGACCCCAGTCCCTCCAGGGCTCACAAAGGACCCCAGTCCCTCCAGGGCTCACAAAGGACCCCAGTCCCTCCAGGGCTCACAAAGGACCCCAGTCCCTCCAGGGCTCACAAAGGACCCCAGTCCCTCCAGGGCTCACAAAGGACCCCAGTCCCTCCAGGGCTCACAAAGGACCCCAGTCCCTCCAGGGCTCACAAAGGACCCCAGTCCCTCCAGGGCTCACAAAGGACCCCAGTCCCTCCAGGGCTCACAAAGGACCCCAGTCCCTCCAGGGCTCACAAAGGACCCCAGTCCCTCCAGGGCTCACAAAGGACCCCAGTCCCTCCAGGGCTCACAAAGGACCCCAGTCCCTCCAGGGCTCACAAAGGACCCCAGTCCCTCCAGGGCTCACAAAGGACACCACACCTCCAGGGCTCACAAAGGACACCACACCTCCAGGGCTCACAAAGGACACCACACCTCCAGGGGTCACAAAGGACACCACACCTCCAGGGGTCACAAAGGACACCACACCTCCAGGGGTCACAAAGGACACCACACCTCCAGGGGTCACAAAGGACCCCAGACCTCCAGGGGTCACAAAGGACCCCAGACCTCCAGGGGTCACAAAGGGAAGGATGAACTCCAGCTAGTGTTACTATACACAGATGTCCCAGCACACATCCACAGTGGAAACGTACAAAGCTCCGGCCTCCAGCTCGTAGGATTCCTTCGCCTCTACTTTGCTGGAAGAATCGTCTGAAAGTGAGAACAAGCAACTTTCTATCATTATACAGGACTTGTATAGCGCCAACAGTTTGCGTAGCGCTGTACAATACCGAGAGCGTACCATTACAATGCATTTCAATACAAAAGGATTAGGAGGGCTCTGCTTGTGGAGCTTCACATCTAAAGGGGGGAGGGATAAAAAGCAATAGTTGTGGGGATGATCTGATGGCGGGGGGATGATCTGATGGCGGGGGCTGACGTAGTTTTTAGGTGATGGCGGTAAAAGGAGAGATGAGTTTTCAGGGATCGCCAAAAGGCAGACGGCCGAACAGATTGGGATAGGGAGTTCCAGTGAATGGGAGAAGCTCTGGAGAAGAGCATAGGAGGAGGTAATAAGGGTTTCTAGGGAAGAGCAAAGCGGACGATTTGGGTGACATTTGCAAATGAGGTAGGTGATGTAGGTGATGTAGCTGGGGGCAGAGTTGTGGATGGATTTGCATGGTGAGTAGTTTGAATTATATATGCTGGGCTAGTGGAAGTCAGGGAAGGGAATGTCAGAGACGGGCAGCAGTCATGGATCGGGAAGATGTATAATAGTCCAGCAAATAGTCCCACCAAACTTTACACTTGGCACAATGCAGTCAGGCAAGTACCGTTCTCCTGGCAACCGCCAAACCCAGACACGTCCATCGGATTGCCAGACAGAGAAGCGTGATTGGTCACTCCAGATAACATGCCTCCCCTACTCTAGAGGCCAGTGGCGGCGTGCTTTACACCACGGCATCCGACGCTTTACATTGCACTTGGTGATGGAAGGCTTGGATGCAGCTGCTCGGCCATGGAAACCCATTCCATGGAGCTCTCTACGCACTGTTGTTGGGCTCATCTGAAGGCCACACCAAGTTTGGAGGTCTTTAGCTATTGACTCTGCAGACAGTTGGCGACTTCTGCGCACTGTGCGCTTCAGCATGTGCTGACCCCCGCCCTGTCATGTGACGTGGCCTACCACTTGGTGGCTGAGTGGCTGTTGTTCCCAGTTGCTTCCACTTTGTTATAATCCCACTAACAGTTGAGCGTGGAATATTTAGTAGCCAGGAAATGTCACGGATGGACTTATTGCCCAGGTGGCCACCTATCACGGGACCACGCTTGGAGTCACTGAGCTCCTGAGAGCGACCCATTCTTTCACCAATGTTTGTAGAAGCCGTCTGCATGCCTAGGGATGGATTGTATACACCTGTGTCCATGGAGGAACACCTGAATCACATGATATGGAGGGGATTGGAACACCTGAATCACATGATTGGGAGGGGATTGGAACACCTGAATCACATGATATGGAGGGGATTGGAACACCTGAATCACATGATTGGGAGGGGATTGGAACACCTGAATCACATGATATGGAGGGGATTGGAACACCTGAATCACATGATATGGAGAGGATTGGAACACCTGAATCACATGATTCGGAGGGGATTGGAACACCTGAATCACATGATTGGGAGGGGATTGGAACACCTGAATCACATGATTCGGAGGGGATTGGAACACCCGAATCACATGATTCGGAGGGGATTGGAACACCCGAATCACATGATTCAGAGGGGATTGGAACACCCGAATCACATGATTCAGAGGGATTGGAACACCCGAATCACATGATTCAGAGGGGATTGGAACACCCGAATCACATGATTCAGAGGGGATTGGAACACCCGAATCACATGATTCAGAGGGGATTGGAACACCCGAATCACATGATTGGGAGGGGATTGGAACACCCGAATCACATGATTGGGAGGGGATTGGAACACCCGAATCACATGATTGGGAGGGGATTGGAACACCCGAATCACATGATTGGGAGGGGATTGGAACACCCGAATCACATGATTGGGAGGGGATTGGAACACCCGAATCACATGATTGGGAGGGGATTGGAACACCCGAATCACATGATTGGGAGGGGATTGGAACACCCCAATCACATGATTGGGAGGGGATTGGAACACCCGAATCACATGATTGGGAGGGGATTGGAACACCCGAATCACATGATTGGGAGGGGATTGGAACACCCGAATCACATGATTCAGAGGGGATTGGAACACCCGAATCACATGATTCAGAGGGGATTGGAACACCCGAATCACATGATTCAGAGGGGATTGGAACACCCGAATCACATGATTCAGAGGGGATTGGAACACCCGAATCACATGATTCAGAGGGGATTGGAACACCCGAATCACATGATTCAGAGGGGATTGGAACACCCGAATCACATGATTGGGAGGGGATTGGAACACCCGAATCACATGATTGGGAGGGGATTGGAACACCCGAAATCACATGATTGGGAGGGGATTGGAACACCCGAATCACATGATTGGGAGGGGATTGGAACACCCGAATCACATGATTGGGAGGGGATTGGAACACCCGAATCACATGATTGGGAGGGGATTGGAACACCCGAATCACATGATTGGGAGGGGATTGGAACACCCGAATCACATGATTGGGAGGGGATTGGAACACCCGAATCACATGATTGGGAGGGGATTGGAACACCCGAATCACATGATTGGGAGGGGATTGGAACACCCGAATCACATGATTGGGAGGGGATTGGAACACCCGAATCACATGATTGGGAGGGGATTGGAACACCCGAATCACATGATTGGGAGGGGATTGGAACACCCGAATCACATGATTGGGAGGGGATTGGAACACACCGAATCACATGATTGGGAGGGGATTGGAACACCCGAATCACATGATTGGGGAGGGGATTGGAACACCCGAATCACATGATTGGGAGGGGATTGGAACACCCGAATCACATGATTGGGAGGGGATTGGAACACCCGAATCACATGATTGGGAGGGGATTGGAACACCCGAATCACATGATTGGGAGGGGATTGGAACACCCGAATCACATGATTGGGAGGGGATTGGAACACCCGAATCACATGATTGGGAGGGGATTGGAACACCCGAATCACATGATTGGGAGGGGATTGGAACACCCGAATCACATGATTGGGAGGGGGGGGACAATACTCCTTGCAATATAGTGTATGTATACACACACACATACAGATATATATTTGCAGTTTACATATAACTAAGTCTCCATACCGCTGTGTAATGACAGATGACGGGTGGGTGTAGATGCACCATCGAATATTGCCCGGTCCAAGAAGTCCATGGTGGATTCGGTGTAGACAATCTGGAAGACCTGTCCCAAGAGAGTACAGAGCTCCTCTGCAGCGGCCTGTGTGTACAAAGGGAAAACTGTGAGGTGAAGCCCCCAGGTATGCTTAGAGCAGGAAACCAGTCAGGTGAAGCTCCCCCAGGTATATGTACAACAGGAAACCAGTCAGGTGAAGCCCCCCCAGGTATATGTACAACAGGAAACCAGTCAGGTGAAGCCCCCTGAGGTATATGTACATCAGAAAACCAGTCAGGTGAAGCCCCCCAGGTATATGTACAAACAGGAAACCGGTCAGGTGAAGCCCCCCAGGTATATGTACATCAGAAAACCAGTCAGGTGAAGCCCCCCAGGTATATGTACATCAGAAAACCAGTCAGGTGAAGCCCCCCAGGTGTATGTACAACAGGAAACCAGTCAGGTGAAGCCCCCCAGGTATATGTATAGCAGGAAACCAGTCAGGTGAAGCCCCCCAGGTATATGTACAGCAGGAAACCAGTCAGGTGAAGCCCCCCCAGGTATATGTACAACAGGAAACCAGTCAGGTGAAGCCCCCCTGGTATATGTACAGCAGGAAACCAGTCATGTAAAGCCCCCCAGGTATATGCAGTCAGGTGAAGCCCCCCAGGTATATCCAGTCAGGTGAAGCCCCCCAGGTATATGTACAACAGGAAACCAGTCAGGTAAAGCCCCCCCCCCCAGATATATGTACAGCAGGAAACCAGTCAGGTGAAGCCCCCCCCCCCCCAGATATATGTACAGCAGGAAACCAGTCAGGTGAAGCCCCCCCAGGTATATGTACATCAGGAAACCAGTCAGGTGAAGCCCCCCAGGTATATCCAGTCAGGTGAAGCCCCCCAGGTATATGTGTACAACAGGAAACCAGTCAGGTAAAGCCCCCCCCCCCCAGATATATGTACAGCAGGAAACCAGTCAGGTGAAGCCCCCCCCCCCCCAGATATATGTACAGCAGGAAACCAGTCAGGTGAAGCCCCCCCAGGTATATGTACATCAGGAAACCAGTCAGGTGAAAGCCCCCCAGGTATATGTACAACAGGAAACCAGTCAGGTGAAGCCCCCCCCCCCAGATATATGTACAGCAGGAAAACCAGTCAGGTGAAGCCCCCCCCCCCAGATATATGTACAGCAGGAAACCAGTCAGGTGAAGCCCCCCCAGGTATATGTACATCAGGAAACCAGTCAGGTGAAGCCCCCAGGTATATGTACAACAGGAAACCAGTCAGATGAAGCCCCCCCCCCAGATATATGTACAGCAGGAAACCAGTCAGGTGAAAGCCCCCCCCCCCCCCCAGATATATGTACAGCAGGAAACCAGTCAGGTGAAAGCCCCCCCAGGTATATGTACATCAGGAAACCAGTCAGGTGGAAGCCCCCCAGGTATATACAGTCAGGTGAAGCCCCCCAGGTATATGCAGTCAGGTGAAGCCCCCCCAGGTATATGTACAACAGGAAACCAGTCAGGTGAAGCCCCCCAGGTATATACAGTCAGGTGAAGCCCCCCCAGGTATTAATGTACAACAGGGAAACCAGTCAGGTGAAGCCCCCCAGGTAAGTGTACATCAGGAGGACTGTGTTTGAACATCACCTTGTTCTCCGTGGCCAGGATAACCAGGCAGCATGACTCCACGGGGCAGCTCCCGCACTCCGACAATGACTGGACGTCAGGGACTTTGGCACTCTCTGCAGACAGACTCTGACTGGGAGAGATTCCGGGATCCGGCGCTACACAGAAACAAACAGAAGAGCGCCATGACGTCTACATGCTGCGCATACATACGCCTTATGGCCTGAAGTCTGCAGACAACTATCACACCTAGAGGAGCTTGTTGGACATCTAACCCCAAAACCTCCCGACCCCATTCGTTGTGACCCACATCAGCGTTTCAGTCAATGAAATGTTGAAATTAAACCCGTTTCATGACATACCTTATTTTAGACCCAGTGATGTCATCACTAGATCTCTATCCTTCTCTATGCAATGCAGGCAGCTCATGGCTGGGTGGGAGGAGCCAGCAGGGTGCTGTACATAGCTTCTTGTAAACATCACAGGCCCCTGGCCTCAGTACTCATCTGGTGCCCAGAGCCAGGATGCAAGCATTGGGCTGGCCCCTTTGGAGGTGTTAAGCAAATATCACAATTCCCTTGTGGGCGTCAGTCTGGAGGATTGGGTGTTCCTTGACAGGCCGTATTTGCATGCAGAGACCGCCCTAGGTAACACCCACATGTGATGCTGAGCCTCCATGACAAAAATGAGATCTAATGAAAGAAAGGGGCGGAGCCAGGGACAATCAGGCTGGAGAGGAAAGAGCTAGATGATGCTGGACGTCCTCCAGCTAGGAACTGAAACAGAGCGCTCTCTGACTTGCTGCAGCTTCTATTGCACATCATGAGAAGCTCACAGTGTGCATTAGCCTCCTTATATGTATTGCCTGTATACCCGACTCTTCAGGTCCCCCGGCGTCGCCATCTTTACTCTGGGCAGCCGGCTGCCCACCGCGCATGCACAACCCCCCCTGTAAATGGTCCTGCAGTCCCCTGGGACCTGTGATTTGTTCCAAGAGCTGCTGCGGGGAAAGGGGGGGGGGGGTGAACTTCAGCTCCGGTCGCCTAGACCAGGGGTCTCGAACTTTTGTAAACCAAAGGCCAGTTTACTGTCCTTCAGCTTTAAGGGGGGGGGGGCTGGACGGTGGCCATTGAGATTATAAAAGGTCCCGAGATCAGTGGAGATAAACAATGTCCTGTCATTGTTGTGAGTGGGAATAGCACCACATTGTTGGGTGTCAGTGGGAAGAATTGTGCCCCAACACCGGTGTCATTGGCATAAGCTGTGCCCCAACACTGGTGTCATTGGCATAAATTGTGCCCCAACACTGGTGTCATTGGCATAAATTTGTGCCCCAACACCAGTGTCATTGGCATAAACTGTGCCCCATCATTGGTGTCATTGGCATAAATTGTTGCCCCATCACTGGTGTCATTGGCATAAATTGTGCCCCATCATTGGTGTCATTGGCATAAGCTGTGCCCCATCACTGGTGTCATTGGCATAAATTGTGCCCCAAACACCGGTGTCATTGGCATAAACTGTGCCCCATGACTGGTGTCATTGGCATAAATTGTGCCCCAACACCGGTGTCATTGGCATAAACTGTGCCCCATGACTGGTGTCACTAGGCCCCATTGTTGGTGTCATTAAGAGGAATTGGTATTAGTGGGGTATGCCTCTTCGTTGGTATCAGAGGATGAAATTGGTGTCCCAAGGTCCAAATAAAATCAAGCAAAGAGTCGCATCTGGCTCCCGGCCGCAGTTTGGAGATGACTGGCCCAGATGGTCGGCGTGGAAGCAGGTACCTGTCAAAAGAGGTACCCCCTCCGCCAAAAAAAAAAAAAAAAAAAAAGGACATTCCAAATTTAGCAAAGGGGGGAAGAAGGTTGAGGTCCGGGCCCTGTGAAGGAACCCCGAGAGGTCCGGGCCCTGTGAAGGAACCCCGAGAGGTCCGGGCCCTGTGAAGGAAACCCGAGAGGTCCGGGCCCTGTGAAGGAACCCCGAGAGGTCCGGGCCCTGTGAAGGAACCCGAGAGGTCCGGGCTCTGTGAAGGAACCCCGAGAGGTCCGGGCCCTGTGAAGGAACCCCGAGAGGTCCGGGCCCTGTGAAGGAACCCCGAGAGGTCCGGGCCCTGTGAAGAAACCCCGAGAGGTCCGGGCTCTCGGAAGGAACCCCGAGAGGTCCGGGCTCTCGGAAGGAACCCCGAGAGGTCCGGGCTCTCGGAAGGAACCCCGAGAGGTCCGGGCTCTCGGAAGGAACCCCGAGAGGTCCGGGCTCTCGGAAGGAACCCCGAGAGGTCCGGGCTCTCGGAAGGAACCCCGAGAGGTCCGGGCTCTCGGGAAGGAACCCCGAGAGGTCCGGGCTCTGTGAAGAAACCCCGAGAGGTCCGGGCTCTGTGAAGAAACCCCGAGAGGTCCGGGCTCTGTGAAGAAACCCCGAGAGGTCCGGGCTCTGTGAAGGAACCCCGAGAGGTCCGGGCCCTATGAAGGAACCCTGAGAGGTCCGGTCTCTGTGAAGGAACCCTGAGCTCCTCCACACCAAACTGGTCACACCATGTCTTTTATGGAGCCGGCTTGGCTTTGACCACAGAGAGTACTGGACTTTCAGATAGATGTTCTGGTTGGATCTGGTCAGGATTCCAGGCCACCTAGCTGAGCATCTACAGCTGCCCCAGGGGTAGGCAACCTGCGTCTCTCTAGCTGTTGTGGAACTACATTTCCCATGAGGCATTGCAAAGATGACAAAACTGGCAGTTACAGCTATGACTTGCAGAGGCATGATGGAACTTGTAGTCCTGCGGCTCTCAGGTTGCCTACCCCTGACCTAGAATATAATCCACAACTAGAACGTATTTCTTGTATCTCACCGGTTTTGAGAAGCACCAAGTGCAGGCAGTCGTCTCGGATGTAGGAGACGGCCGCAATGTCGTGAATGGGAACCCTGAGAATGATGTCCTCTCTGTCCCTCCATACCACCTTGACGTTGTAGGCGGACAGGCTGATGAGAGCGTCGTGCTCCTGGGTCAGCTGTGCGGGGAGGTGATGCAGTCTCTGCAGGAAGAACAGTCACCCGTCAGCAAAAACAGAAAGTAAAAAGGTGCAGATACCAGGCTGGGACCTGGAAAAAGCAAGCATTGTGGGATCTCTTCATTGGGTTACCCCCTGTGTGTCTGCCCCTCCCACAATGAGATCTCCCTGCATTAGTTTGTCTCTGCCCCTCCCACATTGGTGAGATTTCCCCCAGTAGTTGTGCCTCTGCCCCTCCCACAATAGGGAGATTTCCCCGCAGTATTTTGTGTCTCTGCCCCTCCCATAATGGGGAGATTTCCCTGCAGTAGTTTGTGTCTCTGCCCCTCCCACAATGGGGAGGATTTCCCCCACTAATTTGTGTCTCTGCCCCTCCCATAATGGGGAGATTTCCCCCAGTAGATTGTGTCTCTGCCCCTCCCACAATGGGAGGATTTCCCCCAGTAGTTTGTGTCTCTGCCCCTCCCACATTGGTGAGATTTCCCTCAATAGTTTGTGTCTCTGCCCCTCCCACATTGGTGAGATTTCCCCCAGTAGTTTGTGCCTCTGCCCCTCCCACAGTGGGGAGATTTCCCCCAGTAAGTTGTGCCTCTGCCCCTCCCACAATGGGGAGATTTCCCCCAGTAGTTGTGCCTCTGCCCCTCCCATAATGGGGAGATTTCCCCCAGTAGTTGTGCCTCTGCCCCTCCCATAATGGGGAGATTTCCCCCAGTAGTTGTGCCTCTGCCCCTCCCATAATGGGGGAGATTTCCCTGCAGTAGTTTGTGTCTCTGTCCCTCCCATAATGGGGAGATTTCCCCCAGTAGATTGTGTCTCTGCCCCTCCCACAACGGGGAGATTTCCCCCCGTAGATTGTGTCTCTGCCCCTCCCACAACGGGGAGATTTCCCCCCGTAGTTTGTGTCTCTGCCCCTCCCACAACGGGGAGATTTCCCCCCGTAGTTTGTGTCTCTGCCCCTCCCACAACGGGGAGATTTCCCCCCGTAGTTTGTGTCTCTGCCCCTCCCACAACGGGGAGATTTCCCCCCGTAGTTTGCGTCTCTGCCCCTCCCACAATGGTACAATGTCTATACATCTGTGTGCACCCCGACATTGTGAAGCAGATATTATTGGTAAAATTTGTAGAACCATCCATGGAAAAGTGACGGCAGAAAAAAAGAGGGTAGTCCATTCAGACTTTTTTTTTTCTTCTTTTTTTTTGGGGGGGGGGGGGGGGTTTGGTTTGTTTTTTTTTCTTTTTTAACTTTTTTTTTGTATAGTATAGAGCTATGCTTAGACAAAAAAAGTTAACAAAAAGTAAATAAAAACCACCCCCCTCCCCATCAGAAGAAAAAAAAAAGGGGCCAGACTTGATGGACCACTCGGGTCTTTTTCTGCCGTCACATTTTTTCTGTGTTTCGATCGACATCATTGACTATTTTTAAATCTTTATCATTAGGGAGTAGATAGGAAGGTGTTTTATTTCCTTGTTTTACTTGTTTTTTTTTTTTTTACATTTTTCCCATTACTTCCTGGTTTCCATACCCTAGGCCAGGGGTCTTACAACGTTCTAAACAAAGGGCCAGTTTAACGTCCTTTAGATCTAAGGTGATGGTGGTGGTGGGTGGGAGCCGGGCTGTGGCCATTGGGAGTAGAAAAGGTGAAAAGGTCCTGATATCAGTGGGAATAAACATTGCCCCTTCTTTGGTGTCATTGGGAGGAATTCTGCCCCTTCTTTGGTGTCATTGGGAGGAATTCTGCCCCTTCTTTGGTGTCATTGGGAGGAATTCTGCCCCTTCTCTGGTGTCATTGGGAGGAATTCTGCCCCTTCTTTGGTGTCATTGGGAGGAATTCTGCCCCTTCTTTGGTGTCATTGGGAGGAATTCTGCCCCCTCATCGATGTCATTGGGAGGAATTCTGCCCCTCACCGATGTCATTGGGAGGAATTCTGCCCCTTCACCGATGTCATTGGGAGGAATTCTGCCCCCTCATCGATGTCATTGGGAGGAATTCTGCCCCCTCACCGATGTCATCGGGAGGAATTCTGCCCCCTCACCGATGTCATCGGGAGGAATGACGCCCCCTCACCGATGTCATCGGGAGGAATGACGCCCCCTCACCGATGTCATCGGGAGGAATGACGCCCCCTCACCGATGTCATCGGGAGGAATGACGCCCCTTCACCGATGTCATCGGGAGGAATGACGCCCCTTCACCGATGTCATCGGGAGGAATGACGCCCCTTCACCGATGTCATCGGGAGGAATGACGCCCCTTCACCGATGTCATCGGGAGGAATGACGCCCCTTCACCGATGTCATCGGGAGGAATGACGCCCCTTCACCGATGTCATCGGGAGGAATGACGCCCCTTCACCGATGTCATCGGGAGGAATGACGCCCCTTCACCGATGTCATCGGGAGGAATGACGCCCCTTCACCAATGTCATCGGGAGGAATGACGCCCCTTCACCAATGTCATCGGGAGGAATGACGCCCCTTCACCAATGTCATCGGGAGGAATGACGCCCCTTCACCAATGTCATCGGGAGGAATGACGCCCCTTCACCAATGTCATCGGGAGGAATGACGCCCCTTCACCAATGTCATCGGGAGGAATGACGCCCCTTCACCAATGTCATCGGGAGGAATGACGCCCCTTCACCAATGTCATCGGGAGGAATGACGCCCCTTCACCAATGTCATCGGGAGGAATGACGCCCCTTCACCGATGTCATCGGGAGTAATGACGCCCCTTCACCAATGTCATCGGGAGGAATGACGCCCCTTCACCAATGTCATCGGGAGGAATGACGCCCCTTCACCGATGTCATCGGGAGGAATTCTGCCCCTTCATCGATGTCATTGGGAGGAATTCTGCCCCTTCATCGATGTCATTGGGAGGAGTTCTGCCCCATTGGTGGTATCATTGGTCCTAGGGCCATATTAAAGCAAGCAAAGGGCTACAGTTTGGAAACAACTGCCCTAGGCAAATGATGTCATATATCCCAGGAGTCTCCAGGAGCACATATGTCCATGACGCACAGGAAAGGTCCCAATCTCCCCTTTTTGATCATGTGACCGCCGTGATGGCAAATCACGGCGGTCACATGACCCTAAAGCCCGCCTGCCTTCTGAAACTCTTAAAGGGCTGGGAGGTCAAATAGTTTTTTTTTTCCTTGAGCTGCACAGAAGCAGTGTCGTTCCACTTTAATATAAGTTTTGGTTTACTGATTTTCCAAGACATCTGCACTCAGATTTTTGGCATCCCCTGCAACAAAAATGTCATTTTTTTTGGTGTGATACTAAAGGGATGCAGACCCTGCAGTTTTCCTCAGAGCCCTGCAGGTGCAGCAGCTGGCTAACTATAAAACCGCTCCCGTACAGATTCACTCCACACATGGACACAGACAAACAAACATCTACTTCTTCAGAACAACAAAAAGGTAGGACTCTGCAACAAAGTTTGTGAAAATCCCTATCCCTGCGATGTAGATCGAACACCCAGGGGGAGGGTTTTTTTTTTCCTCAACAAAAATGGAGTTGCCCTTTAAAAGTTACATAGGAGGTCTGGTGCTACAATTATTGCTCTTGTTATAACGTTGGCGGTGATACCTCACATGAGTGATGCGATCGACGCTTACATGTGTTTGTGACCTACGTATGCGTTCGCCTTGGCGCGTGAACACGGAGGGGTGTGGACACTTTACTTTTTTTTTTTTTTTAATTATTTAATTACTATTCTTTCCATTTTTACACTGTTCCTTTAAAAGTTTTTTTTTTTTGGTCACTCTCTTTTATTGCTATCACAAGGTATTTAAATGGGATGATAAGCAGCGACAGGTCCTCTTTTACTGAGACAAGTGGGGTCTAATAGACACCAAATCTCTCCTTTGCCCATGTAAGGTTTGGATTAAACCCCGATTGCTTCGATCCCAAGCCGGTAAGGGCCGATAAACAAAAAGACCGAAACCAGACGTGACTAAATACTTGTTGCTTCCGCTTTTTATACACCATAGAGATGATCAGGGACGTTCTGGTCCCTGGTTATCTCCATGATAAGCCGCAGGAACTACCGACTTAGAGAGGCACCAGGAAGGGACCCCTGTCACAATCACGCCCACAGGGAGAGGTGCGGTTCTCCATTTTGCTCCAAACTTCTACATTTTGGTATTGCTCTTAAACTCATATACTATCACCTGAGGGGGGGGAGGTGTAGTAATCATGCATACAAGAGCCAGGCATGGCTGTATTAAGAAGTCTTCATGTATCCCCTCACTCATGCGTTCAGTGTAGCCGTCTATGCCATCCTTTTCCCAAATAAGGCAATAGGCTTGTCTGTTGTAAGAAGATACCAAATGATTTTTGTAGAACAGAAGCTGTTATGCTTTGTGTGTAGTCAGAGAAGTGCGGACCATCTGCTTTTTAACATCTAGCAGACCGAGAGAAAGAGGAACGAAACTGAGTGCGAGACCAGAATTCCCTTTTTAGCTCATCAGACTTGAAACTGCTTAACCCCAGGCATCTTTCGGCAAGTACTTATTTACCTAAACTTCTGCACTTTTTTGACCTTTTAGTAATAAATCTTACTTTCTGAAAGCGTTGAACTGTTTCTATAGTTCTTTAATGTGACTTACGAATCCCTGCCGCTGAAGAGCGCTACTATGAGTGTTTAACCCTCTGTATAAACCGGTCTGTAGAGATAGCGGAATACTGACGGTTAGCCAATCATCCTAGTGTATTGCTGAGTTTCCTCTTTCTCTGTATAAAAAGGAGGTGGTGGCAGTGTGAAGGGTTAATTGCGTAATTAACCTGACCAAGTAACAATCGCATTCAGGCTGCCGGTACGTCAATTGTGGTCCAATTAGCTGGAAAATTGGTGTGAAGGGTGCAGCTGGGTGTGGCATTGTTACGCACTTGACATCGCGGTTTAAGATTGGCTACTCCACGAGTTTGGTGAGAAGGGCTGGGGTCTGACGCCGCGTTCGTCAAAACCCCCTTCCGCCCTCCTTCTGCAGCTGCAGGCATCAGCCCAGTATAACCACTTCAGGACCGTGACCATACATGTAGGTAGTCTTTTCTCACCTTTGCATTGTCTAAAAGCTGTAGGATTTCTGTCCGGCTGGAGGGGTTGAGGTATCCAGGGATGGAGGTCAACTGCCCCAAATACTGCAAAGACAAGTCATAGACCGGGGTAAAAAAAAAAAAAACCACATTCAGTACATTTCTGTAATCTAGGGCTGCAACTTACAATTATTCTCAATCGATAAATTGGCTGATTATGGTTTCAATTAATCAGAAAAACCCTCAAAAAACAGTGTTGTGTATAATTTAGTTAATATGTAAATTTAAAAAAAACAAAAAACGACAATTTATTCTTGAATATCTATGTGCAGTGGGGTAAATACAATAACCAAATGTATGCTCAGGGAACAAACTATCTAATCCCCTCTGAGAATAACAGACGGAAGAGGTGTTGTATATACCAGCCCTCGAAATTTCCACTTGTCCACTCGCATTGGGCGAGTGGAAACAAGGTGGGGGCGAGCTGTGCAGGGACTAGGGGTGTATGGGAGGGGCGGTGACAAGCAGCGATCTCCTGTATGACTTTCAATGAAGCTGCTGGAAGCCACGGGAGGGAGAGGAGGAGATGCGGCTTCCAGCTACTTCACTGAAAGTCGTATAGGGAGATCGCTGCCTGTCACTGCCACCACCACTGCACAGATCGTTCTGTTTCTTTCTGGGCCCCCCTGCTGTCTGCTCCTCAGTTCCCAGCCCCTCCCCCTATCCTCTGCACCAATAGGACACCCAGGATGGCGATACATCAAGCCATGTGACACCTAGGTCTGCCAGGATGGCGATACATCAGGCCATGTGACACCCAGGTCTGCCAGGATGGCGATACATCAGGCCATGTGACACCCAGGTCTGCCAGGATGGCGATACATCAGGCCATGTGACACCCAGGTCTGCCAGGATGGCGATACATCAGACCATGTGACACCCAGGTCTGCCAGGATGGCGATACATCAGGCCATGTGACACCTAGGTCTGCCAGGATGGCGATACATCAGGCCATGTGACACCCAGGTCTGCCAGGATGGCGATACATCAGGCCATCTGACACCCAGGTCTGCCAGGATGGCGATACATCAGGCCATGTGACACCCAGGTCTGCCAGGATGGCGATACATCAGGCCATGTGACACCCAGGTCTGCCAGGATGGCGATACATCAGGCCATGTAACACCCAGGTCTGCCAAGATGGCGATACATCAGGCCATGTGACACCCAGGTCTGCCAGGATGGCGATACGTCAGGCCATGTGACACCCAGGTCTGCCAGGATGGCGATACGTCAGGCCATGTGACACCCAGGTCTGCCAGGATGGCGATACATCAGGCTATGTGACACCCAGGTCTGCCAGGATGGCGATACATCAGGCCATGTGACACCCAGGTCTGCCAGGATGGCGACACATCAGGCCATGTGACACCCAGGTCTGCCAGGATGGCGACACATCAGGCCATGTGACTTGAGTGTCTGCCATTATTTATTTATTTCAGGTACTTAT